CCAAGTACGTCTGCGAGTTTGTCGATACACGCACGAACCGAGTCGTCTTTTCCACCAGCATCCGAACCTCTTTTGCGCCCAACAAGGACCAAGAGGGCTCCGTCAACCCACCCGTCAGCACGCCACAGTCTCTCCGCCCCGACTCGCCCGCGACGACGCTGAAGAGCACAATCAACGCGAACAACGAGCGGCTGGCGGAGGAGAAGTCTAGGCTGAAGACGCTGCGCAAGGAGTGGAAGAACAAGATTGCCGCGCTAAGGAAAGAGAACGAGAGACTCGACAATGTGATCCAGACCGCAGGTGGCAACGACGACAAGCACAGGCAGAAGATTATCCAGCAAGAGACCAACAAAGCCCAATCCGAAAAGGAGATTGCCCAGCTCGAAGCAGAGCTCAAGGAGTTTGAGAAAGCACCTGAGGGATTCTACGAGCGTAAGAAACAGACGGAAAAGGAGTGGGCTGCCGAAAAGGCCATCTTCGATACCGCCTCCAAAGAATACAAAGACTACAAGGCCGCCATCGCCAAGGCTGTGAAGGCCAAGGAGGACGAGCAGGCTGCCGCGCAGACCAAGAGGAACAAGATTGCAGCACGCATCGCCAAAGTGGACACCGAGCTGGGCAGAATCACGGATGCTAACAATCGTGGGCTGGACGAGGCCGAGCGTAGGCGCCAGGCCCGCATCGCCTGGCAAGCGGAGACATCGACGATTGAGAACAACTTCCGGGGCAGCATTGCGGATATTAAGGCAGCCAACGCGAACAAGCAGGAGCAAGTCAACGCTTTGCTACAGCAGCTCCAGGCATACCATGAGCATATGAACTACGCCACGACTGCCGCGATGCCCTATGATCTTCCCGAACGTCATTCCGCCCAGCCTCAGACCACGTCATCCGCCTACAATCCCGCCGCGCCAGCCTGGACACCACCGTCCGCCGCCGCATCGCAGTATGTGATGCCTGCCGGGTCTATGTGGCCCACATCCACCATGACCGCGTCTGGTTCTGTGTTGCCGCTGCCAGCGTCCTCTATGCAGCCTGTGTGGGGTTATCCGCCTACGCACCAGAGCACTGTCTCTCTCAAGGCTAGGGGCCGCTCCTCCTCGATGCTTAGCGATGTGTCTGGGTTCACGCAGTCTAGCAACGGCGACGACGAGTTCTTGTCGCTCCATAACACGCCTGCGCAGCAGCCCATGGCTCAGCGCACGCCCGTCACGTTTGCTTTCACGCGACGTCAACGGAGCGACGGCGCTGGGTCAGGCTCTGGCGGCAGCAGCGTTCATAGTGGAAGCGCTAGCGGCAGCGGAAGCATGCGGGATCCTCAAAGTCCGGTCTGAGATGTGTCTGTTTTCATCGGGAATTGTGTCTTGTTTTTTGGTGGTCAACTTTCGAAGGGTCTTTCGAGTCGAGACAAGTTTCTTGCTGGGCTGTCTAGTCAACCACTTGTTGGTGGACCTTGTCCTCATGCCATTAGTCTTCCCTCCTCTGAGTTGGAGGGCTGTGCTTATGTCGAGGTTTAGTCTGTGGATAGGTGGACTACATATTCGTAGCGATTTCGTCTGGCGACATGAAGACTAAAGAAAAAAGTTGTGCCTTTGTTTAGATTATCTGTCTTTTGACATGGTCCTTGTGATGTCTATGGTGAGGATGACATGACTACCTGACTTTATGATGAGATGCCTATTAAAGTTACCTTAAGTACCTTACCTGCCTTGCGCTATCCGTAGTCGACGATAAGATATGATAACCACATGTATTGGGAAAAACAAGGTTTATGGATTGCTGCAGGCACGTCGGGTTGCCGCGTGCCTAGAAACTATGGCCGGGAATGGCGTCGGCGGCGCGGCGCCGGTGCCGGTGCTCGGTTCTGGGATACTTGGGGTTTTCTGGATTGCTCGTCTGCCCGCACCCGTTCGTCCCAATCTCTTGGCTTGGGGGGGTTATCGATTCCCTGCCCCCCTCTCTCGGCAGTTGGGAAGCAGTTGAGGCAGCGTGTTTGGCCTGACCCTTTGGCTGGGTTTGTAAAGGCGCACAGGTCTCCAGAGCAGAGAGATGCTTTATATGGGCTAGAATGGTGGGTTCACGAACTCCAAAGCTTGTTGTACGTTGAGCCATTCCTTCTTGAGGGATGTTTTATACGTGTTTGCACATGTCTAAGATGAGTTTGTTTTGTGTTGGTAAATGATTGATGAGGTGTTGGAGCGTTACTCATGTTTCGGTAGATTCACCATAGCTATTTGCTTCACCGTATGCCAGGTACCTGGTTCGAGGAAAACGCATGGATCGTTCATTCACCTGCGCAGTGTAGGTAGAACAGCAAAGTTTTGATCGGGAGCACCCCCTAGGTAGGTGACTTGGGGAAAAGAACCCCCCCCCCCCCCCCTCCTCCAAACATCCGGCCATTGTTCCCTACCACTTCTCTGACTACGAATAGTGACCAATTAATGTTTTAAAAATTACGGCTTCAATATCCTAATTTCATAACATACAAATGCAGAATAAATGTCGATGGATGTGATGGTTGTGGTGGTGGGTGTAAAAGGAAGTGCGCATCTGGATGAGTCTTGACGCTCACTGCCCCCCCGTCTCCCACCAAGGCTATTGTCATCAATTGTTCGGTTCACGGCAACATGATCAATATGCATGATGGGAGAGAAAGTTGTCACGGTGGCTCACCGTCAAACTTACAGTCAACGAGTCACGACGATCCACGGCTTCAAAGTTCAATCCCTCTCCCCCTGTTGATACACTATCACATGCTCTACAGACTTTTCCGGGCATTTATCTCGCGATCCACGATGGACAAGAAAAAACATCCCATGTGCGCGTTTGGTGGTACTCTACGGACCCGTACGACCAACGGAAACAGAGAACGCATACAAGGGTGTTTGTGAGCAGTGAGGGGTTGAGAGGCGGTAGCGTCGTTTCTGGGCGGCTACGCGCATGTACGCAGTGGAAAAGAAAATAAATAAGAAAATACCTCGGAACTGATTTGCGACTTGTCGAGTATTGGTCGGTTCATGGACCTGTCTGTAAAGCTGGGTGGTTGGGAGTGAACTCTAGACAGCACCCATGTATCTATCTGTATGTGCTAGTCCTGAACGCAGGCTCTCGTCTCGGTCGGTGGCTCTCTATGCTTTTCTTCCTTTCGACGTATGAAAAGCTTAAGCATGATTGTTCAAAACGCCAGAGGCTCATGATTTGTCCAGTGTTGCATGTGCATCTCCAATACCGCCGCTCCCTACAGAGACATCCGAGAGGGCTGTGTTTGAAATGCATAGGGGAGCTTTGGCCCTCTCCCAATCAAGGTGTAACGGGCGAGTCCCACAGGCGTGTAGAGGAGGCGCCTGTAGGCTGTAATCGCCTATGCGAGGACGGAGTCAGGGCTGTTAGTTTACTCGCCATAGTGCCCATAGTTCCATAATGTAGTATTGGACCCTGGGCTGGGCTCGAACTTGCATCGCACCCATTGGCGATGGGGTGGGAGGGCATGGAGGGGTTGCTGCGCTTGGTGTGCAGGTCCCCTTGTACGGGAGAGCGCGGACTGGTTGAGTGGTGACGAATCAGGTTGGATAGACGGGGGTTGAACTCATGGCTATCCAAGCTATACAAGGGAGGGAGACGCCGTTTGGGACAGTTTGGGAGGGGGGATATGGGTAGTGCCCGTGTTGATGATGGTGGTTCACTGTTTAGTCTGTATTCTTTGGGTGTGGTTTGTATGGTTGGAGTGGTTGAAGTAGATGATGATTAAAGACGATAGAATGGTTAAGGGTGCCATTTAGAGCCACCCTCTTCGACATGGGATTCTCGGACCTGGCGCGATCTAGGGGCGGGAAAGGTGAGCGGTGGTCGGTGAGGAGGGCGAAGAGGAGGGCTCTAAGAGGAGACACATGACTTTTTTTACGATTTGATTTGCTCAACTGGCGCCCATTGATGGTGTGTCACATGAATAGAAGAAGCGGAGGATATCCGCGTTTCTCTCTTTCACTTGGTCTTCCATTTCTTTGCATTTGTCTGTGCTTATCGTGTGCGGCCGACGATTCTTCGTCCGGAGTTTGCTATATACTCCAGGAGGATTGATATCATCTTCTTCCTCAGCTGTACTGTTCGCGAAGGGTTATCCCTTCCACCTCTCATCCCGTTTCTGCCGGCCCCCTCCCCGCGGCCGTCTAAGCCACCGTCTCGGCCACGGCCAGATCGCCACCGAAATCGCACCGACGGATTGCATTCCAGTGCCCGCCCCCGACCACAGCGATAGCCACACGCAGTAGTAAACGCCGGGACAGTTCGTGTCACTCTGCTTTACCAAAGAGCAGGCGCAGGCGTTTCTAATTCAGTAGCGACTAAAGGAGGACTGGAGATATCGCGTCATACTTTATCGCCTGTTCGTCTAGGTACCCAGGTTGGAAGACAAGGTTTCTCACTTTGTCCGCAACTTACCGGCTCTCTCTGGAGACGGGGTTCAGCTGCGCAAGGTCACTCGACTCCAGCTTTGACTTGTGATTATCCCCATTTGCTCAAACACACCGAGGCAAAACGAGCATCGAAAAGGCGGAGAGGGAAAAAGCAGGATCCCGCTCGACACCGAACGCTTGGGTACACAGGATAACCGGGACGCCTTACTTCTTGTTCCTGTGTTCCCCGCCTGTCATACACGAACCTGTTCTCCAGCCAGACCGCTTCATTGTTTCTTGGCGACGAGTTTCCTTGTGCCTGGGAGAACTCAATCCTATTAAGCCAGCCAAGCAATACAGAAGAACAATTCCCTTCCTGTTTCCTGGTTCCTGCCAATCCACTCTTGTGCAGAGCGCTAGACTTGGCTCCCGCACTATTCGAAGACTGGCTGCCGGTAGAAAGTTTAACAACGCCTACGCCAAGGATCGCGAATCTGGGCAGACGGGAAGATCCCATTCGCGGATTTCAGTCCAGCAGCACCCAAAAGGCAGAACGACAAACGAGGATATCAGAGACTACTTTGAAGTATCCTGAATGCTCCTTTCACAATGGGCTGGTTTGACCGCAAAAAGGCCGTCAAGCATGGCCCCGAGCCAGTCAAACCGATGCCGGTGAATAACCACCACCAAAACATAAACCCTTCCCAATATCACGCACCGCCACATCCACCTACGCAACAATCTTCAACATATGCTACCTCCACGACGCAGACGCCGCCGTACTGGCAGCCTCAGCCGAGTAGCCAGGGACAATACCAACATCCCCCGCCTCCGTATCGTCATCCACAACCACGGCATCCTCATCAACAGCAGCAGCCTCATCGCCCTCAAGGCTGGTCACAGCAATACCCTCAGCAACAACAACCCATCGTGGTGAACCAGCACTACTACCTACACCCACCACCGTCACACCTCGCCCTCCCTGCGCCGCCAGGCGCAACCGGACCACCGACGACGACAACTGCGACCGGACACCCCATCGGCCTGGACAAGTTCACCGGCTCCGTGGTGACCATCGCCAAGGACTTCACGTCCCCCAACTTCCTCGAGGAGCCAAACTTCCACCCGCACGCCACACAACTCATCAACTCCACCGCTGCGTGCGTCGACCAGATTGCGGGGTGTTTCAACGATGTTATGACCCTAATTGATCGGGACCGGATGGTGGGTAACGAGAAGGCCTTGTTCACGTACCAGAATGGCGGTGGTGGGAGCGGCGCGGTGCAGCAGACCACTCCGTCGGGAGATGGGAAGAGGAGCGGCGGAAGCGGAGGGAGAGGCGAGAAGAGCGGGCAGCGGAAGAAGAGTAAAGAAACTTCTTCCTCCGGTTCAAAGGGCCAGTCTGCGGCTGTGGCGACGTGTGTGGTGTCGGGGGGTTACTTTGCCAAAGTCGAGTTATACGCCAACTCGAAGCTGCCCATGAACCTCCCGCCCCTGAGACTGTGAGTGCACAAAAGTCCTTAAAATCACTCAAGATTCACGAGAGGAGACGAACTGACACATCCTAGATACATGCCCACCTGGCCCCTCCTCTGCATGGCCGCCCAATACGCAGAACGCGTCTACGACCACCCCAAAGGCGCCGAGCGCGACGCCCACGTCTCGGCAGACTGGAAAACCGGCACGAAAGCAATGGTCATCAAGTCCGTCCCCATGGACCACATGAACACCATCGTCTTCGCGATCCGCGGCTCCGCCACCTTCATGGACTGGGCCGTCAACCTCAACACCGCCCCGGCATCCCCCGATGGCTTCCTCGACGACGCGGGGAACTCGTGCCACGCCGGGTTTTTGGCGGTGGCGCGCAAGATGGTGAAGCCCGTCGCGGCGCGGCTGCGGCAGTTGCTCGAGGAGGACCCGGGGCGGGCGGCGTACAGTCTGTTGATTACGGGGCATTCTGCGGGCGGCGCGGTGGCGAGTTTGTTGTATGCGCATATGTTGTCTACGTCGCCCCGGGCCGGGAGCGAGTTGAATGCGTTGACGGGGTGTTTTAAGAGGGTGCATTGCGTTACCTTTGGGACGCCGCCTGTGAGTTTGTTGCCGTTGAGGAGGCCTGAGAGGGCGGAGCTGCGGAAGAGTTTGTTCTTGACGTTTGTGAATGAGGGGGATCCGATTGCGAGGGCGGATAAGGCGTATGTGAAGAGTTTGTTGGAGTTGTATGCCAGCTCGGCGCCGTCTACTTCGGGTTCGTGTTCTTCGGGGGGCGGTGGTGGTGAGTCTGGAGGAGAGAAGAAGGGGAGGTCGTTGGCTGCCAAGGCAAGTAAGATGTCGCTGAGGAATAAGGAGAGTAAGATGTCGCTGGTTCCGCATGCGGCTGGTAGGGAGTTGGAGAGGGACCGGGAGAAGAGGAAGAGGGAGGGGAGCGGCAAGCCGGTGTGGCGTCTCCCGCCGGGAACGCTGAGCTCGCCGGGCAGGATTGTGGTGCTGCGGAGCGGAGACCCGAAGGCGAGGCCGCGGGACCGGAAGACAGTGGCGGAAAGGTTGGACGAGGGTGTTGTTGCGCAGACTGTGACTGATGAGGAGCTGAGGGGTGTGGTTTGGGGGGATCCGGTCTGCCATGTCATGAAGTTGTATTCCGGGCGGATTGAGACGTTGGCTGTTGGAGCTGTTACGGGGAGGCAGAAGTAGATGAGAGGGCTGGTACCAGTGAGAGATGGATGATGAGAGTAGTCCGATGGTTTGATGAGGCGTTTGGGTTTGGTGATACCACTGCTTACTTTTAGTTTGGATACCTCTTATGAGTTATGAGATATGAATACATTCCAGTACAACAATGATGCCTTGATTATAAGAGTTGGATCGAAGCTCATTCTGGCGGTGCTATAAGATCCGTCATTAAAGAGGAGGTCAAATTCTTCGTACAAAACGATGTTTCCGAATATTGATTAGAGGCGAGCCCAGTTGATCGAATTCGAACCCGAGCACTACTCTCGTCGTGACGGTGCTGGTTGTGTATTGCTTCATCATTCGTGTCTCGTCTCTTGTGACGCCCTTCTCGGGTGATAAGTAAAAGAGATTTTGTAAATGCCGAGAGGAAAACGGAGATTCATAAAAAATGAAGAGTAGGGGAACTCTATTTCTTACGGTTTTTCTACAAGTTCAATTCCATATAATAGTGACTGACAACGGCATGTATATCACGCGTGGGTGAGGCTGAACAAATTGGCGTGTCTGTGACCTCGGTTCGCTAGACGCCAATGCCTGTTCGCCCCAGAATAACAATGCTGCTTGTCCTTCACGAGGCTGTAGTGGGCCGCGGGAAGCTGTTGATAACAGGCCCAGTAGCGGCTGGGGAGTGAAACAAGCTCACGAATGGGACGGAACAATACTGTGCAAATCATGGGCAAGATCTCGTTGTTCACTCGAGTTGAAAACTTCAACCCATTGTGTCAGATTCCAATGCTGTCCTGGCCACCTGACCATATTCCTAAATGGACGGCGAGTACGTATGAGATCCTCTAAGCCCCAATTCCATCCCCCGAGACCGAGGGAGAAAAATCGTAATGTTATACACCGTAACCGTGGACCTCCCACTGAGGTCCAACCCTAGTATTCATCCTCGTCCCCTTCCTCATCCCCAGATTCGCCCTCATCCGCCAGGTTCATAAACATGCCATTCTCGTCGTCTTCATCATCCTCATCCTCCTCATCTTCGAGGTCATCATCTTCGCTGCCGACGATACTGCCCTCGGGTTCGTCCTCTGACTCGGAGGCAATCGGATTCCGTCTGCGATGCGTCATGAGCTTCTGCGCGAGAGACATCGTCTTGGGCTGTGCTTCCTCCTCCTCCTCGGAGCTCTCCTCTCCAGACTCTTCCTCGTCTTCGGATACCGGATTGTCGCGGCGGTTGCGAGCGAGCTTTTCAGCTAGAGATAGAGGTTTCTTCGCGCTCTCTTCTTCGTTCTCCGCGTCTGATGCTTCCCGTGCCTCCTTGTTGGCAATATCAGCCCCACCTTCATCGTCGTCTTCGTCATCGTCGTCTGAGGGAAGGACTCGTGCACGACGACCGGTAGGCTTTGCAGGTTTCTCCACCGCTTCCTCTTCATCATCGTCCTCGTCATCTGATAGAACAACGCGGCCCCGGCGACTCGTAGGCTGAGAAGGCTGCTCCTCATCCCCTTCATCTTCATCGTCGGAAATAACCACTGGACCACGTCGACTTGTGCTGCGGCCTGAGTCCTCTGCTTCTTCCTCCTCCCCTGATTCTTCGTCCTCGTCAAACGATGCAATTTGTCGTCTCCTCCTTCCTCCGTGGGGCTGGTTGTCTTCTCCTGATTCCGGCTCGGGGCTGGACCAGTGAGCTGTGGGGTTTCTAGGGCCGTTGCCATCGAAGAGCGTGCTGTCCTCATCTGCAAGAGGAGAGAAACCGCCGTAGTCTGACACACCTCCGCCACCTTCTTCATCATCGCTTGCTTGTTGCGTGTCGATAAGCAAATCGTCCTCGTCTTCATCGACGGACTCCTCGTGAATGCTTCCGTCGTCGATTCCCTCGCTTTCATACTCGTTCTGGTCCGAGGAGTCGTCCGAATCTTCTTCTGAGTCGTCCCCTGATTCCTCTTCCTTGTCGTCTTCCGAACCGTCGGCAGCGGGTTTGTCTCCATCAGCAACCCCGTGTTTTGCCCGAAAAGCGTCGAATCGGTCTGCTGCATCCCAGCCAAAGCACTGCATAGGCCAATAACTGACTTCTTCTAGCCGCTCAGCTTCACCCGATTTCAGGTGAAGGGAGCCCTCCTCCACCATGTCGAACAATTCTGTGAAGAGATCAATCCATATCTCATCCTTGGATAGATTCTTCTTCAATGCGAATTCGCGATTCTGCGGCTGCGTGAGATCTGGCCAGCAGTACACGAAATGAAGATCCTCGCCAATGTCCACATTTCTTCGTAATTGCTGGATCTCGTAGTTGTGAATCAGATCCGATGCACACCACCTCAACCTGTGCGGTATGCGCCTGTCGTTATGCCACTGGAAATCGAATAGGTTCTTGAGGTTAGGAAAGGCCAGAAGAAGCCGTAGTTCATTGGCGTCCAGGTTAGATCCATCCATGGCCATGTTCATGATGTTCTCAGAGAAGCCAGGGACCTTGAGGTTGTGGTCCCAAACGCGCTTGACGCCATTGAGGTGAACGACGTCTCGTTCTTTGTTAAACCGAACGATGCGCCGACCCTCCCTAATCGCCAGGGTGTCTGGAAATGCCTTGAGTGCAATGTCTCGAGACTCGTGATGAACGCGCAACATGGCATCTACCGCTGCAATCTGGTTCTCCAAGGTCGTGCTTTCCCAAATAGTGTCTTGCCGTGGATTCGGCAGCACCTGGAAGGAGAAGACGCGTGGCGATGGGTCGAGATCTGGACAAAAGTACTGCCAAATGCGATGACGAAGCTCGATGGGAAGTCTGCGAAATTCGGGAAAGAACACCCGTGGAGCCTTGCGGCGGTATTCACCGAGGATAGATGCATCTTCTGAGTCCGACTCTGATGAGTCGTCAGAGTCGCTATTCCCCTCTTCTGAGGCTTCGACGTCGAGAAAGCCCTGGCCGGGGGCGTCGCCGGCTTCTGTCCCTGATTCGCTGTCTGAGGACTCCCGGTCGGATGCATCATTTTGCATGAGGCCGACGCCATCAGGGCCCGACTCGTCGGATGAGTCTGGCATGTTGATTGATGGAGATCCTCCGTTGGCGGGCGACAAAGTTGCTGCCCTTGTTGAAAGACAAACGGCTGAGAAAGTGACAGCAGTGGTGAAATGAGGGTGAGACGCGACTGCCCAAGTGCAGGGGTCGAAAATTGATGCGCGCTAGGGAGCTATGGCACGTGAATTGGTACGTACTGAAGCTTATTTTGCCCCACCTTCTTCACCGAGAGCCCCGCAAGGTGAAGGGAATCGGGATGCCTGCCGAGACTGCACACCGGAAGCCTCAATCCCTCACCGAAAGCTACTCCTGGCTCAACTTTCCCCGACAAAATGGTGATTACAACTTTCAGGAGGCACAATCCGACAGATGGACATCCGGCAAGAAGTCTGCGACAACTATATCACTTCTCAATGGGTTCATATCCGTTGGCCTCAAATGACCGAGGCCATCGTCCTAATCCCTATCGCCACCCAACGCGCCGATTCCTTAATAAACTCTCGACTTACTTTCCTCCTCTCCACCATCCTCTGGCATCAAAGCCTTGACTATGATACTCTATCAGCTCGAGCGACACCTAGTAGGTCGTCTACCTCTTCACCTCTCTCCACAGTCTGTCTTAATACTGACTCGTTCCACTCCATCACATCTCGCTCTGACGCTTCTCCACACCAAATCGGTCCACCCCACGACACGAGCTCCATATTCCCAAAAATCGCGCAGCGCATCAATTCACAGAGACACAGCATCTCAACATCCCCGATGGCACAATTGGCTAGCGCGTCAGACTGTTAATCTGGAGGTTGGTGGTTCGAGCCCACCTCGGGGAGATTTAGTGGTTAGATCCCACCGCACGGTTGAAGATTCTCTTTTTGCACTTTTTGGATGTTATGGGACTTGATTGACTCCGGGCCTACCAGCTTGAGCTGTTGTGGGACCTGTACGAATATTTTCCATGAGAAACCTGAGAGCTCGACGAGACTACAATACAAGGAAAAATTCGCTTGGATAGGATGACACGGGTCCGGATCTCCTGCCAGTACGTCTATGTTGAATGAATCGTGCTGTCCTCTCGACCGGCAATGGCAGCCGGGCCGCTTCTTTGTTGTAGCTCGATGTGGCGGCATGGCCTATTTATGACAGGTACAGGATGGCGTCTCGTTCGGGACGGAGGTAGACTGGTGGCCTACCGCCACCGAGGGAGCCATTGCCTCCCATCGTGCCCACGCAATTTGTTCGCACACGCTGGCCTGTAAAATCGAGGGAGTAGTAGGTATCGCGGTTGTCGAGAGCATTGCTGACGAAATAGGCGCCGAGATAACACACACGGATTCTCTAGGGTCCATCGCTCTATTGCGACCTTTCGAGCTTTACTTCCTCGTAATCTTCCCTAGTTCTCGCGCTGATCTCCAAACGAGACGTGCCATATCATTTGATCGAGGGTGTATTCTGAATCCATTGCGTACTGCAATGGCACACGATACGGTCGGATGCGTAGCCGATGTCGAGCGGGCAGGATATGGGATAAATGTGGGAGGTATCGGAGCGTTAGAGACGATAAATAAAAGTATACTCTAAGTAGGTAGCGCTCGTGGAATCGAGTATATTTCTATTGATTGGTAAACTAGAATAGTATCAACGTGTGACAGAATTGAATACCTGTATCTACTCTTTAGAGCCTAGGTGCTGGAGGAAAGGTGCGGTTCGAGACTATTATCCAAAACCTCGATGACGCGAAGCTGACGGTTTGGCTCGACTGGTCTTTCGTGACACTTGACACCCCGACAGAAGCTGGCATCAAAACTGCAGATCGTTCGCTGAAAAGTCATCAAAGATGGCTTCGATTTCTGGACACAGAAGACGTGGTTAATCGGGAATTTACCACGTGAGGCTTATGGGACTGATTACTCCAGGAAGCAAGTGTTCAAAGATAATACTCTTATTCCCACAGACAGTAGAGCCGAGCTCCGTCTTGTCAGGGTCGATTGGTCTGAATGTG